CCAGTGTGAGTTTAAGCCACTGGGTCCGAGACTCGAACCGCGGTAGACTACATGCGAGTTCAGCGACACAGCCATTACGCCAACTGCTGATCCCCCAAGTCCTCTTGGGATCTTGGACACGCACACACATGAGCCCGGTGTGAGTTTGAAGCACTGGGTCTGGGACTCGACCTGTGTTTGGCTACATAGGAGTCCGGCGACAACCATTACACCATCTGCCGGTCCTGTGAATCTTCTTTTGAGTTTTTTCAGTCATTAAACATGAAAAGCAGCCTTGGGTGGTGCAGAAGCAGGTGGGGGCTAACTTTGCCCGCGGGCCAGAGTTGCCAACCCAGTGGAGAGCTTTTGGAAGAAGACCCCCAGAGCTGGCTTGTTCAACTACTGCGCTATGGGGTTCGCCCTACCCAGTGGAGTTTTCAAAAAGTCAGAGTGTGAGAGCGAGCGAGCGAGAGAGACGCACCCTTAGGGGACGGGTCACGCCGCCATCCCTCCCGTTCTCCAGCCCCCTGGGATTCTGGACAAGCACACGCCCAGCCTCTCGGTTCAGTCTGGCCGGGGACCTGAACCGTGGCCGGCCTATAGCTTCTGCCTCCCCAGTCCACGTTACTAACCACACCACAGGACTGGGCTTCCAGCACACCACGCTCGTACCGGGCCAGGAGCCGTGCAGGGCGGCCGTGTCCCCCCATGTGGCCACTGCGGGGACGCCCGTGGCCCTGAGCGGCTCCCCAGAGGCCTGGCTGGAGCTGTGGGAGCGTGACATGGCCTCCCCCCGCAGGGCGCTGCGATAATGATGGAGAACAAGCCCATGAGCCTGAAGCTGATGATGACCCTGGCGTTCAGCACGCTGGGCGAGCGTGCCTTCATGAACCGCACCGTGGCCGAGATCATGTGGGGCTATGAGGACCCGCTCGTGAGCCTCATCAACAAGTACTTCCCGGACATGCTCCCCTTCAAGGGCAAGTTCGGGCTGTTTGCTGAGGTGAGCGTGGCGGCCAGAGGCAGGACGGGGGTTGTGTCCTGGCCTCCCTCCACACGGCCTGGCGTCCGGTTACCGGCTCCCTTCCCAGCTGGGGCAGGGCTGAGGGTTATAGGAGCACAGGCTCAGATCATGGAATGCCCATGGGATGGATTCAGGTACAGCTTGATCCAGGCTCAAATGGTATGGTCAAGACTTTGCTAAGAAAACTGTTGGATGGAGGGGACCAGCTGTTGGGAGACAGTTCAGATGCCGCCAGGCTCTCGGGGTGCTTACCTCGGCCGTGATCCCTGGTAACCGGGTAGGTTGGGCTCCTGAGCCAAGGTCAGATCCCCGACCTCTGGCCCTGAAGACCTTGGCTCCCTCGGTGAGGCTGTTTATGTGTTTGCCTGAGAGCACACGCTCCGCAGAGAGGGTGGCAGTGGTGGGGAGAGGGGAGCGCCCCATTGTTTTGCTTCCTGTCTCCACCCTGTCGGGACTTGGGGCACACACAAACAGACGCACATGCCAGGCATGTTTTCAAGGCTCTAGGGCAGGGATTAGAACTGTGGTGGGATCCGGCTGTGCTCCTGGGGTGGCCCGATACAGGGTTTTGTTTTTAAACATTCGTTCATCTGACACCCCTGCACCCGGCCTTGGTGCGGCCAGCGAGGCGCCATGCCCTGTCTGCTGCTTACGTGCCCCCTCGCTAAGTGGGGGGTGGGGACAGGCTGCCATCTACGGGAGACTGTGGACCCCCTGAAGTGGGGGGATGCTGGGACAGTCCAGCCCACTGTCCAGGACAGCATCCCTCCTTGAAAGTGCCCGGGCCTCCTCCTCTTCCCCCCAGATGCTGGGGATGCAGCGGTGGGGGGGTGACAGCCCATTCTGGTGGAGGGCAGGGGTGCAGCTGGGAACCATGGGCAGCTGGATGACCCAGCCTGGTCTGAGGCTTGAAGATGCCATGCCCTGCCTTGTCTGCAGCTCAACAACTCCAACTCCGGGCTCTTCACCGTGTTCACGGGCGTCAAGGACTTTCAGAGGATCCACCTCGTGGACAAGTGGAACGGGCTCAGCAAGGTGGGAGTGACGGGCAGCCCCCAGCCCGCGCCTGAGGGAGGGCGAGCCAGGCGCCGCCGGGGCGGGAGTGGCAGTCGGGCGGTGGTTTTGGGAACAGTAGGGTGGTCTCCTCCGGGCAGAGGGCGGGGAGCACACCGTGGACTCGCACCTGGCATCCACTGGGGACCCATCTCTCTCTTCCTTCGATTCTTCGTTTATGAACACGTTTCAAAATAAGGCACGGTAAACACAGGAAGACGTTCCCATTAGCGACAGAACAATGGAGATAAATATAAAGTGCCCTTTTACCACCTTGCCTCTTCCAGCTGGGGGCTGCCCGGGCTGCACCTCTTCTCCGTGTGCTCAGGGGAGGCCGCTTCCTCTGCGGCATGCGGGTGGCGAGTGGGCGGCCCAGCGTGCCGTTCCGCCTTCGCGAGGGCGATGGTGCCACGGTGACTTGCTCCCCTGCCGAGCGAGACCAGGGACGGGGTCGATGGCGCCCGCCCGCTGCCCAGGGTGGGGGAGCGCCACCTGGGACTGGGACAGCCGCCCCGAGGGTACTGTTAGCCCTCTTTCTGCCTCGCTTTTCAACGTGAAGGCACACGTGCACGTGGCTTAAAAACACTGATGGGACGGCAGGTGGAGAGGGCGCGGGCGCCTGGGGGCCCAGGCCGCTTCTCCAGGGCACCTGCTCTGGCAGACCCTGTGCTGCGGTGTTCTGGGCCGCCCTGGGAGTTTCAGTAGTTTCCGTGTGTGCTGTTTCCTAACTTACCTGCGTTAGCGGGTGGCTGTGACTCCGGTGGGTGGGAAGGTCAACCTCCTGCCCGCCTCCCGCCGCCCATGTACCTCGTGCAGCCCGGTCTGGAGTGGTGGTGACAGTCCCATCTTACAGGTGAAGGAACCGAATCCCTAGCAACGTTCCCTGTTCAGGGATCCAGTTAGGGCTGGGGCTGCAGGTGGACACTGTCTACACAGCCTGCTCCCCACTGCCAACGCTGGGCCCCCAGGGCGGAGTGGGTGCTGGCCCTGGCCTGGGCCGGCCCCTGCAGTCACATCTAGTGCTTCCCCGCAGGTCAATTTCTGGCACTCGGATCAGTGCAACATGATCAATGGGACGTCCGGGCAGATGTGGGCCCCCTTCATGACGCCCGAGTCCTCGCTGGAGTTCTACAGCCCCGAAGCCTGCCGGTAACTGCCCTGACGGAGCCGCCCGGGGCCAGGGGTGGCTCGCGGCCTCATCGGGAGGCATTTGTGCCCTTGGGAAGTGTCTGACTCGGCCGTGATCTCTGGTAACCTGGTAGGACCCACTAGCCGGGTACTGACCCACTAGCCCCTGGCACCATCTTGAATTCTCTTTGGCTACACCACGAGGTGCCAAGGTCACCTGCCAGTGCTTTTGAAAACCTAAAGAGAGGCCATTCGTGGTTGTCTGGGACGCGTGGTGCTGGCAGGAGCGGGAGGCAGGACATGGCTGCAGTCACAGGAGGCGGCTCCCTGGGCGGCAGGCTGCCCCAGGTGGCATGTGGATGTCAAGATTACTAGAGGTCCCTGTCTCCTGCTCTGCAGCCCTGGGGCCTGCAGGGCTAAATCTTCCCTGGGCGGCTGCAGGCTGGGAGCGCCCCGGGCCAGCCCCGTGTTCCCATTCCACTCAGTTCTGTTACCCCAACCGCCTGCCTCGCCAGGAGACCTCTGTGGAACATGGTTGTGCCCGTGCTGGGGACACGGCAATGCCAGGTGCCAAGGTCCCATTCCCTGGGAGGACAGCAGGGTGTCAGATTGCTCTCTTTGCACACTGTCACTTTATAAAAATAGACTTTTGAAAATTTTGCCAGGGCATGTGTGCTCACCAGAGAGAGAGGGGGAGGGAGAAGGAAAGTGAGAGAAGATATGGGAGCCCCCCCATGGGGGACGGCCCCCCTGCAATCCCTTCTCCAGTTCTCCCTCTTCACATTTCGGGCATATGCACACACACGCACCTGTGTGTTCTTCTAGCTACCAGGCCCGGGACTCGAACCACCTGGCTAGCTATGGATCTGGCTGCTCTAACCCCCCGCTGGCTCTCTGGTGTGTGGCTGTGTTGGGGAGTGGGGCAGAGGGACCTGCCGGGCGGTATTGCAGGTCCCTAGGGGATGGGGACAGAAGCGGTGGCTCCGATCAAGGCTCAGGAGCGCAGGCAGGGGCTGCTCACGACTCCCCTCGGCGAAACCTGCCCTCACGACGCCTACCCTGCACAGGTCCATGAAGCTCATCTACCAGGAGCCGGGGGTGTACGAAGGCATCCCCACCTATCGTTTCGTGGCCCCCAAAACCCTCTTTGCCAACGGGTCCGACTACCCGCCCAATGAAGGTTTCTGCCCATGCCTGGAGTCCGGGGTTCAGAACGTCAGCACCTGCAGGTTCAGTATGTGTCGTGGGACGGGGGCGGGGGGCCTAATCTGCGGCCTCTGCACTCTGATAAGCCCATCGGGGAGATAAGGAGACATGGCTGCGGTCACAGGAGGCGGCTCCCTGGGCGGCAGGCTGCCCCAGGTGGCATGTGGATGTCAAGATTACTAGAGGTCCCTGTCTCCTGCTCTGCAGCCCTGGGGCCTGCAGGGCTAAATCTTCCCTGGGCGGCTGCAGGCTGGGAGCGCCCCGGGCCAGCCCCGTGTTCCCATTCCACTCAGTTCTGTTACCCCAACCGCCTGCCTCGCCAGGAGACCTCTGTGGAACATGGTTGTGCCCGTGCTGGGGACACGGCAATGCCAGGTGCCAAGGTCCCATTCCCTGGGAGGACAGCAGGGTGTCAGATTGCTCTCTTTGCACACTGTCACTTTATAAAAATAGACTTTTGAAAATTTTGCCAGGGCATGTGTGCTCACCAGAGAGAGAGGGGGAGGGAGAAGGAAAGTGAGAGAAGATATGGGAGCCCCCCCATGGGGGACGGCCCCCCTGCAATCCCTTCTCCAGTTCTCCCTCTTCACATTTCGGGCATATGCACACACACGCACCTGTGTGTTCTTCTAGCTACCAGGCCCGGGACTCGAACCACCTGGCTAGCTATGGATCTGGCTGCTCTAACCCCCCGCTGGCTCTCTGGTGTGTGGCTGTGTTGGGGAGTGGGGCAGAGGGACCTGCCGGGCGGTATTGCAGGTCCCTAGGGGATGGGGACAGAAGCGGTGGCTCCGATCAAGGCTCAGGAGCGCAGGCAGGGGCTGCTCACGACTCCCCTCGGCGAAACCTGCCCTCACGACGCCTACCCTGCACAGGTCCATGAAGCTCATCTACCAGGAGCCGGGGGTGTACGAAGGCATCCCCACCTATCGTTTCGTGGCCCCCAAAACCCTCTTTGCCAACGGGTCCGACTACCCGCCCAATGAAGGTTTCTGCCCATGCCTGGAGTCCGGGGTTCAGAACGTCAGCACCTGCAGGTTCAGTATGTGTCGTGGGACGGGGGCGGGGGGCCTAATCTGCGGCCTCTGCACTCTGATAAGCCCATCGGGGAGATAAGGAGGTGCTGATAGTGGGGACGGCGCTATCCCTCTGCGTTACCTCCCCGCAGGCCAGACGTCCAGCCCAGAGCACCCTCGTGTCTGGGCTCTGGCCAGGGGCGGGCGGCGGGCTAAGAGCGAGGTGCCCAGCACACCTCCTGGAGGGCCTGGGGGCTTTTCAGCTGCATTCCTGGACTTCCTCGTCTTCAGCACCAGCGACTCGACTCCCTGGGTCCTCGCGCCCCTTCCTCGCTCTCTTCCAGCAGCGCCCCTGGGGGATCCAGGGCGACCTGGACCCTGAAGACCCTTTGCACTGACCCAGGCGCCCACAGGGTACGGGGGTCGGGGGGTCGGGCGTGGACTCCCCGGGCCTTGATTTCTGCCTGGAGCAGGAGGCCTGTGGGAGGAGCCCTTGACCGCTGGCTTCCCACGGCCATTCACCTTGACATGGATGTAAAAGAAACCAAATGAAGAAGGCACATCTCTGTCACACTGGCCGTGTCATCAACGCCCAGCAGCCCTGCTGCGCACCAAGAGCCAGATAGAGCCGTGTCTGTTGTCCTGGGAGGTCCTGGGAGGTCCCGGAGGGGCTTTTCACAGCCCAGACGTCACCCTGCTGCTCTCTGCTCCGACCTGCCCTCCCCTCTGGGTTTACCCTGCCTTCAGGGCCAGCCTCTGGGATCATTTCTCCCCTGCTTTCTCCCGCCCTCGTGGCTTCTTCCTTCCCCATCGGTTTCTGTGTCCAGTTACCAAGGTCAGCCCCACCTCGGGGCCTTTGCAAGCTGTTGGTCTGCTTTCTCTGGATTTCCCTGTGCATCAGTCCCTTGCCTTTTGGTCTGTTCAGACAACACCTCCTCCTAGAGGCCTGCTCTGATTTCCTCTGTGGTGGGCCTTTGTTCTAAGATGCCCACTGCTTCCCGCCAGCTGCCGCCCGTCACTTTGTCCTTCTGTTGCCTCCTTGAAGTCCTCGTGGATTTTGCGGCCTCCTTTGAACACTGCGGTGTGGCTCCCTGTTCTTTCCTGGGTCCTGGGTCCTCGGTCCTCGGTGTTCAGCGCTGTGCCCCGCTGCAGGACACTTGCACTGGATCTGGACGTATGGGTGCCTGGGTGTTTTGTTCTTAGTAAATCAGAGCCCGAGGCCAGGATGCACTGAGGTCACGGTGGGCGCAGAGCCGGCCTTCTGTCTGGCTGGGGCTTCCCCGTGGGAGCCTCTGGTTGAATGGGTCCTGGTGGAGGGTGATTCCGGGGGAGGCCTCTGTGGCGGTGGAACTGCAGAGCGGGGCCCTCCAGGAGTGCAGGGCCTGGGTGCTCTCCGGGCATTCCCTCGTTCCGTCTGCCTTTACTGAGACCCGTGAGTGAGCGGAGGGCGTGGGCCATCTGTGGAGGCGTGGCAAGCGGCCTGTGCTCCGTGCCCTTGGCTTCGGCCTAAGAGGGCACTTGGTGGTTTGGGCGACCAGAACTCCCAGGCAGATCCCTGTTCCAGGCCTGGACCCCCAGTGTGGGCGTTGCCCGGCACCTTTACCACTCCCCGGCTCAGCTTTCCCTGCTGGCACAGCTCCAGGCAGGTGCCCCCACAGCTGCCTGTGAGGCTCCAGGCCCACCTCGCCCAGCTCTGAGCTGTCAGTACTCGGGCAGAAGTCCCAGGGTTTGCTCTGATTGGTCTGTCGTGCACCCCTTGCCCAGCTGTGAGCCAATCACTGCACTGAGGATGGGCCATGCTGATTGGTCAGGCTGTCACGCGCTCAGCCCGGCTGGCCAGGGTGGAGCTGGCCCCAGTGGAGCACATGGTGGAGAGTGGGAGAGGGCCTCGACTGGGGTGCAGGTTCCAGAAGGCGGAGCAGAGACCATGTGCCCACGGCCTGCCGAGGGCTCGAACATGGTGCACGGCACCTCCTCGGCTGGTCTGCCCGGAGAGCTCTGCGAGTGTGAGGAATTTCAAAATCCGTGACGTTTTCTTGTGACTGAGGTGCACGCGTGTACGTGCTGTGCCCAGTGGCGTGTGCGGTTTGAAGATTCACGTGGCGAGCACACCCAGGTAGCCCGCACGCTGCTTGAGAAATACAGCGTGCCAGCCCGGAAGTCTGCCCCTCGCACGGGCCTGACCTCCAGCACCGTGGCTGGTTCTGCCCACTGGGTCTCCGCGTGCCCGGACTCGGGCGGTGGGCAGTCCTGTGTCCGGGCTGCTCCTCTCTGTGCACGGCAGGGCCCTTCCACGGCGTGGGCGTCCGCAGCACACCCTCTTTGCTGCTGTGTAGCGCTCTCCGGAGGGGTGCACCTCAGTTCTGGCCCTTCTCGCTCGTGGCTTCTCAGTACCTCCTTACGTATTTGTTCTTTCCCTTTTCCTCATTTGTAACAGAGTGCACACCCACCTGAGGGGGCGAGAGAGACGCACCCCACACGGTCTGATCGTGCTGTGAGCCCCTCTCCTGTCCCCTAGCCTGCCAGCTCCTAACGCGGTGCGTGTGCCTGGCGTGTCTCAGGCGCCTGGGCTGGGTGCTCCAACCACGGTCACATGGGCTCAGGCCTCTGCAGAGCAGCGCTCCACAGCTGTGCCAGGACGCTAGCCTGTGTCCCCACTTTGCACCGTCACCGCGTCCCTGTGGCATTTAGCTGAAGATAAAATATGCCCGCATGGGCCGGCAGGTGGACGGTGCTGAAGGTGCTGGACTCGCTCTCTGGCTCTCTGTCAATCATGTGTGCAAAGTTACAAATAATAAATACAATTCAGGAAATTCTTAAAAATAACACACATGCATGCAGACACATGCGTGCATACACACGCCCACACACACACACACACCTTTGCCGTTCTGGGCCTTAGAAATCTCTTGGCCTCAGGAACTCCGTCATCTCAAACCCCTCTGCTCACGACAGCCTCTGTCTTGCCCCGCGGGGCCCCTTAATCATAATCGGGATTCCAGGCAATTATGTTGTGTCATAAAGCTATAAATTCATTACCGCGGATTGCCAGGGCGGGGCTCCCGGAGTGTCGGGGATCACAGGGTGACACACGCACCAGCAGTGTGCTCTCAGAGCCCGCGCCACTCCAGCCAGGGCAGGTGGCGGCTCACCGCTCCTGCCTGCTCCCGCCTGCTCCCGCCTGCTCCCGCCTCGCCCTGTTCAAGGGCCTGGCCTGATGGCCGCCTCCGGGCCTGTGGGAACGGGGTCTTCTGTTTGCTCTTTAATCTATGTCCATGGTGGAGAGGGGAGGATAGGAGCCGGGCTTTCCAAGTCGCGGGACCTGCCTGCTCCTCCCGCAGGGTCACTGCCGGCGCCAGGGGGCTCGAAGACCTTCTGAGCACCCAGCCAGCTGTTAAAGCTCAGGTGATCACTTTATTCTGTGTGAGAGAAGGGGAAGGGGAGCCGGAGGAGGGGCACTCCAGCAGGGGGTCTCCTGTGACCCTGCCCAGTCCAGCCAGCCTCGCTTGTGGGTGCAGGTGCCCGCGTGCTCTGAGAGGTCCCGGATGCAGACCCAGGCTCTTCCTGCGTGGGCGTGGCCGTCCCACTGCTGCGCACCTGCTGGTGCCGCCATCCGTCTCTGGGTCAAAGACGGAGTCACGCAGTCGGTGAGGACTGGTGTCTGCCGGCGTCTGACGTCGGCCTCGTCACTGGCGAGTGATGCCGTGCATGGTGCCAGCGCGAAGCTCCTTTTCAAAACAGATTTACGGATGGCCTTGGCGCGGACTTCAAAGCAGCTCATTATGGAGTCGGGCCGGGCATGCTGGGATGTGGCCTAGCCCTGGGGCGCCGGGGACACATGTGAGAGTAGCAGGGAGGGTGTACAAAGCTGGAGAGGGAAGCCAGGTGTTAGGAACGCCCCAGCTCGGATTTTAAACGAGCGCTCGGCCCTGCTGAGAGAAGCAGAAGTAGGGGCTGGCAGGTGGCGCCGTGGCTAAGGCACCGGACTCCTACATTGACGACCACTTGAGCTTGCAGGTTCAAGTCCAGGACCTGGAGGCTTGCTTTTTCACTTTCCCCCGCTGTCTTTCTCAGGTGAGCACATGCACCCTATAGTAAATTTAAAAAATAAATAATAAATAAAATTAAATAATTTTTTGGAGAGGTTTTTGCTATAGGGCATGTGCACTTACCAGAAAGACAGACAGAGACAGAAAGCGAGAAATTACCCCATGGGGGGATGGCCACGCTGCAATCCCATCTCCATTTTCCTCTTGGGAGCTTGGGCACGCACACACATGCACCCAGCCTGGCGTGAGTTTAAGCCACCGGGTCCGGGACTTGAACCACAGTTGACTACATGGGAGTTCATTGACACAGCCATTACGCCAACTGCTGGTCCCAGAATGAAATAATTCTTAAACAACAACAGCTGAGGAGGTGAGACGCACAGAAGTCGGATAGCCATCACCCAAGGCGGGGTTTGAGGGCTGGAGACCTTGTAGGTTTGGCTTGTTTTTTCTTTAGTTGTCAGAGGGCCTGTATGCTCACCAGAGAGGGGGAGGGAGAAAGCACCCCCACTGGGGCGTGGCCACACTGCCATCCATTCTCTGTCCTGCTGGGATTTCACACACACACACACACACACACACACACACACACACACACGTGCAGGCCACTAGGCCTGGGATTCGAACGGAACCTCGCCAGGCCCACAGTCCCTGCCTGGGGACTGTGGCCAGGAGACCGGGTGGCTCGCCTTTAGCTTGTCATTCCTCAGGCCCGTCCACCGTCCCAGGGCCGCCGGCCTTTGGCTTGTGTGCGGTGACGGCGTCACGTCTCCCGTTCCTGTGTGTGGGTCTGCTTGCTCGGGGTGCTGTCCCTGTTCACACAGGGACGTCTTGAGGACCTGCTTCTGGGAGGCGAGAAAAGGTGGGCTTGTCCCCGCCCCTGTGCACGCTGGGAGGCCTGGCCACGGGTGGACGCTAGGCTCGGACCTCACTGCCCAGCTGCCCCACCAGGTGGTCCAGCCTGCTTGACTTGATGTTGACGCCCCTCCCCGCAGCCAGGTTCAAATCCCGCCTCGACCGCTTCCCACCCTCCGGTTCTTCACATGCCCTCTGCCCCGTGGTGCCTCCCGCACTTCCCCCACTGGCCCTTCCAGCTGGGACGTCGCCGCCACCTCTGCCTGGCATCTCGGAGACCTCCCCCTCCTCCCCTGGGTCTCTCCCGCAGAACCAGTGCCTGGCCTCTACAGAAAGCAGGAAGGGACCTGTCTGGTGTGGGTGTCTGCATCATTTTCTTATTAAAAAAAGTGTTAAGTGTCTTTGAGACAGTCCTGCTGGGTCGACTGGGCTGGCATCCTCCCACTCAGTCCCCGAGCAACTGGGACTGTGGGTGTACACCGCCGTTGCCTGGCTTCGGGGTTTGCCCGTCGTCATCCGCACAGGGTGCCCCGCAGCCTGGGGCCGTGTCGGCTGCGGCCCTCCCCTGGCCGTCATGCGGGCCGCACTCCCCACGCTGACAGCCGCCCTCCGCCCCGCCTGCAGGTGCGCCCCTGTTTCTCTCCCACCCGCACTTCTACAACGCAGACCCGGTCCTGGCGGAGGCGGTGATCGGCCTCCACCCTAACCAGGAAGAGCACTCCTTGTTTCTGGACATCCACCCGGTGAGCCTGCTGTCAGTCGCGGGGTGGGGCTGGGGGCGCCGGCTCGCGCAGCCCCGGCTTCGGTAGCACCGGAGTATCGAGCCCTCCTCACTTAACCGACTCCATAGTTCAGGGCTTTTGCTGTCCCTTGATAAGGGCTTGGTTCTATAAAAGTTCATGAGACAGTAAATTAATTAGGGATTATCGGCAGGGCGTGTCTCCCCAGATTAGCGGAGATAGCCCCGAGCTTGTCAGGAAGCCAGAGATGCCGCCAGATACGCTCCAGATATGCTGGCTGGGGACGGCCTGCAGGTGCAGAGGATTCCGGGAGTGTCCTGTGTTCACAGGGACAGACTTTCTGCAGGTGGCACCGTCTAGAATGTGCCCAGTTGGACTGGGTCTACTGTCCGCTCTCGGATCCCGGCTCTGTCTCCTTTTCCTGGGTGTGTGCTCGCCAGAGAGAGACGGTATTGGGGGAGAAAGCGCCCCCACAGGCGTGGTCACACCAGTCCTCCACGTCTCTCTGCTTTTGTGATTTGGACACACACACACACACACACACACACACCCCTGGCATGTTTCTCAAACCACTGGGTCCAGGACTTGAACTAGCAATTGGCCATGTGAGGTCCAGATGTCTTTTTTTTTTTTTTAATTTTTTAAGAATTATTTACTTATTTATTTAATTCTATTTGTTGTTGTTATTTTTTAATTTGACCAGACAGAGACAGAGAGAGAGAGAGAAATGAAAAGCAAGAAAGCAAGCCGCCAGGTCCGGGACGTGAACCATGGTCAGTCATGTGAGAGTCCAGCGTTCCCATCCACCATGCCACCTGCCGGCCTCGGGACCCAGACATCTTAACCACCATGCCACCAGCTAGCCACCCACAGCCCTTGTTTCTTTATTTGTATGTTTTTTAGGGAGAGATTTTTGCTATAGGGCACGTGATTCACCAGAGACAGAGAGAGACAGAAAGCGAGAAATCACCTCCCAAGGGCAATGGCCACGCGCGATCCCTTCTCCCTTCTCCTCTCAGGAGTTTGGACATACGTGCACATGTGCCCAGCATGTGTTTTATGTCACACGGTCTGGGACTCGAACCACAGTTGACTATGTGGGAATCCAGCGACGTAACCATTACGCCCTCTGCTGGTCCCCCACAGGCCTTATTAAAGCATTGAGGGGCCAGCAGGTGGCACAGTGGCTAAGGCCCTGACTCACATGGTGACCGCGGTTTGAGTCCTGGACCAGAGGTTTCAAAGTCATGGCGGGTGCCCAGAGGAGAGCGGAGGAGGGGCGGCTGTGTGGCCCTCTTCCCTGGGGAGTGGCTTCTCACCTTCGTCTTGTGAGCACAAGCCATGTGACAGGAAACGGAAGGACAGATGGGATGGTTAGGTCCCCAACCCGGGGAGGCTCGCTGTGGTGGGACGTGCTGGGTGGCTGCCCAGGGCTCCGCGGGGCGGCAAGAATGTCTGCTGTGAACTGTACTGGCCCGCGGGGCCTCCTGGGGTTAGGCAAGCCCTGCCGGTGGTGAATTTGGGGACCGCCCTCCATGCAGGGCCCGGGAAGTGCCCCCACACGTGAGGGTGGCCCGGCCCTCACTGAGCCTGCCCCTGCAGGTCACCGGGATCCCCATGAACTGCTCCGTGAAGCTGCAGCTGAGCCTCTACATCAAGGCCGTCAAAGGCATTGGGTGAGTGGACTGGGCGGGGTCAGGGCCCGACCCAGGGGTCCCGCCGGGCGTGGGAGGGACAGCCCGAGCTGTGGGCCCAGGCCTCCCTGCCCTCCTGCCCCTCCCGCCCACGGTCGCCGAATCTGCGTTCTAAGCCACTTCCCTCCCACAGAGGGCTGGAACTTGCATGATTGAAAATGAAAACAGACCAAGTAGCATACTTGGTAATTAAAAAAGCGTTTATGTATTCTTTGCTAGAAGGTATGTGCATTTACGAGAGCGGAGGAGTTATAAAGCACCCACGGGGATAGCCTCCCTGTCCCTTCTCCGTCCCACACCCGCTGGGATTTGGGGCCGGCGCGCGTGCACACACACACGCACGCCCAGTGTTTTCACACCACTGAGACCACGCTGGACTCTGGATCCCACAGTCGGCGCTGTGGGACGGGGCCAGTCCGCCGAGGTTGGAAGTCGCTCCCTCTGGAGACTGCCCCAGGGCGGGAGGACGCCGGTGGCCAGGCCCAGCTGGTGGGGTAGTGGCGACATCAGTGCTCCCGGCCGGGAGTGAGTGCCGCACGCCCGCTGCAGGTCGTCTCACCGCTGTCTGTCCCGTTATTTCCAGGCAAACCGGGAAGATCGAGCCGGTGGTCCTGCCGCTGCTGTGGTTTGGGGAGGTAAGGGTGGATGGACATGGGCAGAGTGGGGGTGTGGGGCCGGCCTCGAAGGCAGGGGAGACGGGGCCAGAGTGACCACCGTGACGTGGGGCCACCCCCTCCCCTGGCCGGGTTGCAGTGAGGTGGCGAGGAGAACACAGCTGTCCGAGGGGCGGGCCTGGCCTGTGGGAGCCATGTCCTCGCTGCACGACCTCACCTCCGGAGGGGCCCGGCCTCAGGGTGTCAGCTCCTCCCCAGCCTCCCATCTCACATCTCCTGTCCCTCTGGCCAGCGCATTCACTCTGTCCCACTCTGTTCCCACGGGATTTTACCAGGTTCTTTTTGTAGAGAGATGTTTGCCTTAGGGCACTGGAGAGAGAGACAGAGAGTGAGAGGGAAGAGAGAAATCACCCCCCAGGGGGGATGGCCATGCCACAATCCCTTCTTCATTCTCCTCCCAGGCTCTTGGGCACGTACACCCACATGCCTGGTGTGATTTTCAAGCCACCAGGTCCAGGACTTGAACTGCAGTTGGCCATGTGGGGGTCCAGCGACGTAACCACTATGCCATCTGCTGGTCCTGGGCTTTTACCAGATTCTGTCTGGCCCAACCAGTGGCTACCAGTTTCAACTGGTTTCTACCAGATGCTGCTGGTCTCAACTGGTATAAATTGGATTTGACTGGCTTCCATTAATTTGTTGTATTCTATTCTATTTTTTTCTTTATTTCTTTATTTTATTTTATTTTTATTTATTTATTTTTTTTGCCATAGGGCACGTGCACGCACCAGAGGGAAAGTGAGAAATCCCCCCAGAGGAGATGGCCACGCTGCAGTCCCTTCTGCATTCTCCTCTCAGGATTTTGAGCATGCATGCACGTGCCCAGCATGATTCTCCAGGTCCGGGACTCGAACCACAGTGGCCGTGGGGGAGTGTAGTGCCTTAAGCTGCCACGCTCCCTGCTGGCTGTCAGTCTCTATTCTGTTTTGTTGTATTGCTTCTACGAATTTCTCTGGGAGTCTGTTACTGGTCTCTTCATTCTGGTCGGGTTCATCGCCCGTCCTGTTCTACCTGAGGGCTCGGCACAGTGGGGGAGGCCGAGCTCCCTCCTGGCTGCAGCCCGGTCTGTGGAGGGTTGCTGGGGAGGGGTCGCTCTGCTCTGCCGTCCTGTGGGGCAGCAGGGCCCTTCCTGTCTCCTGGCCTTGAGATCCTCAGATCCCGGCACAGCTATCAGGCGATCAGGCGGAGGTGTTCTGGGTCAGGCCCCTTCCCATTGGCCAGAACGCAATCACCTGGCCCCGCCCAACTGCAAGCCCTGGAGTGGGGACACCTGGAGGTGGGGCGGTGCGGGTGCCCGGCTCACTGTCCCTCCCCGCAGAGCGGGGCCATGGAGGGCGAGACGCCCTGGAGCGGGGACACCTGGAGGTGGGGCGGTGCGGGTGCCCGGCTCACTGTCCCTCCCCGCAGAGCGGGGCCATGGAGGGCGAGACGCTGCGCACGTTCTACACCCAGCTGGTGCTGCTGCCCGCGGTGCTGCACTACGCCCAGTACGTGCTCCTGGCGCTGGGCTGCCTGCTGCTGCTCGTGCCTGTCGTCCACCACATCCGGAGCCAAGTAGGCGGCCTCGCGGGGCGGGCTGGCGGCCTCGGCCTGCCCACTGGGCGGGCGTCGGCTGTTCCCCAGCCGGCTGGCCGCGTGGGGGGGCCTCCGCTGGGTGGAGGGGGCGGGCGGTCACCGCGGTGGGGGTTGGTGCTGCACCCCTGCCTCTCTCGCGTCCTGCCTCCTCCTGCTCTGCCTGTCCTGGGAGGCCTTGGAGTGGCTGCGGGGGTCTGAGTGGAGGCCGAGGCCTGGCCCTGGTCATGCAGGACAGCAGGCTGTGCAGCAGGCTGTTTTGCACAGGCAGACCCTTAGCCACCTGCGGGCTGGGCCTCCAGGGCCTCAGGAGGCCCCACACGGGGACGGTGGGCAAGGGAGGCCCCTGCCTGGCGGGGACAGCCCTCTCACCGAGGAGACAGGTGAAGCCACGCACGTGAGCAGAGGTGGTCACTGCCGCAATGGAGACACAGACACGGGTAGGGCGCGGGAGGTGCGCAGTGTGGCCACGCGTGTGCGTGCGGTCTCCTTTCTCTTTCAGAACCATTCAGTTCATTTTATTTCTTAAGATTATTATTTTTTGAGGGAGATTTTTGCTATAGGGCACATGTGCTCGCTGGAACAGAGGCAGAGAGACGGAAAGTGAGAAATCAGCCCCCAGGGGGAGATGTCCACACTGCAATCCCCTCTCCTCCATTCTCCTCTCGAGATCTTGGGCACGCACGCACACGCGCCCAGTGTGAGTTTAAGCCACCGGGTCCAGGACTTGAGCCATGGTCAACTACATGGGAGTCCAGCGACATAGCCACTACACCATCTGTGGGTCCCAAGGGGGGGGGAATTCATTTTAATCATTAATTTTATTTAACCAAAACATATCCAAAATATTATTTCCGTCTTAGTCAACATAAGAGATGTCCGAGTTCTTGCATCTGCTTCTGCACGGCAGTGTTTTGTACCCACGGCAGGCCTACGTGGCCTCTAGACTGGGCAGTGCACATCCAGGGGCTGGGGCGAGCACAGACAGGTAGCAGGAAGGGCCTCCCGAACAGGGAGGGTTTAAGCTTAGACAGGAGTGTTAGGGCCTGACCTGAGGCAGGGAGAGCCTGGGTGGGCTGGAGGCTCAGGTGGGAGGGCAGTGATGGCGGGGTGGGTGGGAGAGAGGTTGGAG